CACCAGGTCCAGTTACTGAGCCTGTGTGTGCGCGTGTGTGACAGATGAGGCCGCATGTGATTTGGGGTGTGTATATATAGTTGTGTGTGCTCAGATAAGCAGCACTCTGTGTGCACGTGTTTGTTTACAAAGAGCATAGATCCATATTTTTTCCACAGAAAATGCAAGGCTTGAATGGTGATCATCGTGAAACCTGTAATAAGCTATTAAACAAAACATTGTCACAAATGTACAAATTTTAATCAAGAATTCTTGATTATATATTAGATAGATAGATAGTACTACCTCTACTTACGAACGTCTCTTCATACAAAATTTTCAAATTACGAAACGCCTCAACAAGAAAATATTGCCTCTAGTTCAATGGTTCTTAACCTTGTTTGAGGTCCCGAACCCAACCAGTTCATATGCACATTCACCGAACCCTTCATTCGTGAAAAACAAAAATATGACTTTTTACAAATTCAAGACATAAAAAACGCATTTATTAAAACCAGAAAAAAGTAACTTTTTTTTACAATTTTAAGACATACTATCACAACAGTCACACGTTGACTACTGAGCGAATTAAATTTCCCCCAGTGATGGCCAAGCGGGCGTGTCATAACTAATTGACATGTAGAGTGGGGTGTGTCTTAACCTCCACGGCAGAGGCTCCATCAAACACGTGAAACCGATTCACTGAACCCCGAGGGTTCGATCGAATCAGGTTAAGAACCACTGCTCTCATTCAAGAAATTTTCATGAAATTACATTTTCTTAAAAAAATAAATATTTTCTCCCCAATATATTCAGCTTTTCTGTCGTTTCTCAGAAATAAATATATTTTTCCTCAAAAAACATTTCCGTTCTTCCGTTTTTCTCACTACCTGCTGCCAGCACAGTCACATGGCAGTCAAATTTCTGCACGCAAGTCGCCCCCCCCTCCAAAAAAATAAAAATCAAACAAACAAACAAACATAAAAACATGCAATTATTTTACAGTATCTTGAGAAACGTTTACATCGGGTCGCCTGTAAGTCGGGGCAGCACTTTACTTGTATGTCCCGGACCAAAAAGGTTCCTATCAGATAAATGTTCTTTATGTCACTTCTATGAACTAATAGGCCTTGGAGGAGGTCTCTGCTCTGCTTGCTCTCTGACATTCTCGTCGTACGCACTATAACCATTCAGTCTACTTTATTGTTCTGAAGAAATACGTCATTCACATGTCCCTTTCCAAAGAGTCTTGTGGTCATTTAGCGGGGGCAGGGGGTTCATAGGTGACTTAGGAGGGACTGATGTGGGGGTTCCTTATTTGGGGGAGTGGGCTTGTCGAGGCAGCAGCTGCAGCAAATGAAGAAAAGGTGACGTCAGTGGGGAAAAATTCTCTCCTTTTCTTCCAACTTCTTTTGTTTGTCTTGATTCTTTACATTCAAGCTGCTGACACGTGGAGGAAAGCGGGTTGGGGGGATGTGGCGGGGGGGGGGGGGGGGGGGGGGGGGGGGGGAGGTGTCTAGTTGAAGTAAGGGTCCCCACACTGTAGAAAGTCTGTGGAAAGCCTTTTTTATAAAAGTTGATCTTTCATGCACACGCACGTATGCAGCAACATGTGGAAGCTGTCAGGTGCACACGCCAGAAGAACTTCACTTCCTCTCTTCTTCTTGTAGAGAGCGCTAAAATGACCCCAGCCGTCACGTTGTCTGTGCCCTTTTCCTAATTGGCCCTCATTTGAACGCCCCGAGCCCCACCCCCAAGTGTGTGTCTGTGTGTGTCTGTGTGTTCCAAGGGAACCATCACATTTTCATCCACATAAGACTTGAGCGAGAACACAGCCAACTTTCCTTCCTGCTCATGATTACATCAGCACATGATCTCACACACACGCACGCACACACGCACGCACGCACACACGCACGCTTATGACATCATCACCAGCTGCATAAAATTGTGTGCCTGAGTGTAATTTGTACATTTACACAGTTTGAGCATGGGAGTTTGTCGCCAAGGTTACAGCAAATGGCCGCCGTCCAATCAGGTTTCATGTGTCATGTGATGTCATCAGCTGCCCTTTCAGGATCTTAAACGTTATTATTAACATGGGGAAGTGCCATTTTTGTCTGCAAACAAGGTTTTGTGTTCCATTAGCCTGCCACGCATGTTTTTGGAATGTGGGAGGAAACCGGAGCACCCGGAGAAAAGCCACCTAGGCACGGGGAGAACATGCAAACTACAAAGATGAGAAGTTTTTCTCTGGGAAAAAAAGTGACACAATCAAAATATCATTGGAAGTAAAAGTTCAAAAGTGTGGGAATGAGTGGGTTAATGCAATGGGCCAAAACATGCAACATGCATGTTCTAATCCACACGCATATAAGCACGGAGCACTGAAGATCACGTTGACACGCATTCTGAAACTTCGGGAGCCTTTCGCAAGGAAGGCAGGAAGGAAGGAGGAGCAGGCATTTTGTGGCAGGCGTCGCTAACAGGCGGTTAATCCATCAGATGGCGATCAAAGGTAACCGACTAACACCACCTAATCCTCCACCTTGAGGAGATCTCTTTAATGAGCTTAAAGTAATGAACGCCTCTCTTACGCTCCATCTTCTCTTCCTCCCAAGGATCGGACATGACTTTTATGGATGTCGTTAAGAACATCCATCGGAGATTTTTCATTTTCATCAACTGCATTTAATTCTCATGGATCCATTTTGCTTCACTGCAAAACTGTTTATGATGTTGGTGCTCATAAACACTAATACTGAATAATGAATTATCAATGATGGTGAAAGCTAACGCTGCTAAAAACACTCGATTCTTAAACGGAACTTCTGCTGGATGGTTGCTAGCATTGGCATGGCGGCGCTGGCTAGCCTCACAGTTAGCGCCACTCTCTGGCCTCCTGTTACTTGGGATTTAAAAAAAAAACAAAGAAAAAAGAATAAACATGAATTGGTGTATTATTTGGGAGCCCTGGTGATCACATGGCTGTTTCTGCTCGTGGTTAGCTACACAAGGGGAACCTCAAAAGTCAAAGATTACAATAGTCCAACATGTACCATTTAATTTGAAGGTCATATCGCCTAATCCTAGTTGCTTCGTTATACTGTCATTTATTTTTGCTTTTTCTTTTCTTTTCGCCATAATGCAATTCAAATATTGCCTATAAAGTTGATAAACAATGGTCACTTGACATTGTTTCCAACGGGGAGATTTTTTTATTTTTGAAATAAGTGAGAATGACTCAAAAAGTCGAGCCGTATCACGCCAAACGGATCGTGTTCCACTGTCATTAGGGTGCTAGCTTATTAGCGCGCCATACAATCAGCGGTGAAGCTCTCAGGTCATTGGGGAGGCGAAGAGGAGGAGGAAGGAGTGAGTCATCCGAGCAGGCGTATAATAAAAAGCAGCCTGCACGACAACGACGACGATGATGATGATGAGTGTTCCGCATGGTGAACGTGTGCAGGAAGTGACCGACAGTCAGACTTGTAAAATGAGAACACTCGCAAGGAGTAGGAAGCACCCACTAACACAATACGATAAATTCGACATGTCAATAAATTGAGAATGAATTGAACTCATAAATCAAGGCAACACTGCATCTTCGACTTTTGATGTTTGAGCGCGTGGCCGTCGGCAACCACACTGCCCTTAGCGCCCTCTAGTGATCCATGGAATCACTAAACATGATTTAATCAGGTTGATCATTCATTCTTGATTAATTTAGTGATTTGAATGACTTTATTTGATTAGTGCCTGGTCCCTGAGGGGAGAATGTTTGGCATGAAGATGCGGCGGCACAGCTGTGCCGAAGGCTGGTGTAGAGCTCCCCCAACAGTGTCCTATTCTCACACGCGCTTGTACACACACACACACACACACACACACACACACACTGATGCCAAGACAATGGCCTGCTAATCCTTGCTGCTGATTGGACGAGGGCAGATTACCCAGAGGGCACCAGCTGTCGGGGAGAGCGAGGCCCAGTTTCCTTCTCTGTCACACACACACACACACACACACACACACACACACACACACACACACACACACACACACACACACACACACACACACAGAGCCATGTCACTGCTCAAATGCTAACGGTGACACGTTTGTTGACGTCCAGTCGAGGGAAAAAGAAGGCAGGTTGATGAAAACGCTGCAGAATTCAAAATAATGTGGCAGTTCCAGCTTTTATTTTTAGCCTGGCCTTTTTCCTTCCATCCAACCTTCCATCATCCATCCATCCATCCTCACCACATATGAGCTACGGCACCTTTTCATCACGCTAACAAGTCGACAGTTCAAAGTAACTACAGTGAACGTAGTCACACGTTTACAGGACAAGTTGATCTTTGAAGGACTCCTGGAAAATTATATTAATTAATAGCTGCTTCAAACCAAAAATGGCAGACTTCCTGTGCCTTTTTGAGCATAGCTTCCTGAGACTTTTTATGGTATATCTATTCATGATAGGTGTGTCTACAGAATATCTTATTTTTTGTGGGTTTATTCATGTTAGACATGGCGAGCAAATTTCATGTTTTTTAGTCAAACTGGCTTTGTGGACTAAGTTCTCAAGGCGTTTGGTTCAAGTTCATATTTTATTGAGAGTCATTAAATGTTGCTAGAATGTTTCCGCTAACACGCAATGTCGACAATTCAATATATTGGCACTTTAGTGCTGACCACTTATCTAGGAAACCTGCTTGAAATTTGGTAGCAATCAGAACAATTCTTGGACACGTTTGTCTTTGAAGGACCTCCGGAAATGGTCAAAATGGCCCTAAAATGCTGCTTGGAGCCAAAATGTCAAGACTTCCAGTGTCTTAAAAAAAGGCTTCTTGGGACTTTCTATGTAATCATGATAGACTTGTGTACTAAACTGGAGGTTGTTAAGTGAAATTGGCTGGTTTCCTTTGTATAGTTAAATGGTTCAATTGTTAAAAAGCCTCGACGCAATTACATACAATTTGATACTGATTATGTATTTGTTGTCTTTGTGTGTGCAGGCACCACGGAGCGGGTATGTCTGGTTCAGGGGACGGTGGAGGCCCTCAACGGCGTCCACGACTTCATCGCAGAGAAAGTACGAGAGATGCCACAGAGCAGTCAGAAGTCCGAACCAGTCAGCATCTTACAGCCGCAGACCACTGTCAACCCTGACCGCATCAAGCAGGTCTGTGCTAGACCATTCTATTGGTGTTCTAGACTATGTTGTGTTGCCCTCTAAAGTCGTCTTGTATCCTAGTCATCTCCTAGTCTTCAACTGCATTCTAGTCCATTCTAGACTATTCTATTATGTTCCGTTACATCCTGCTCTAGTTAAATGTTAATCTCTATTCTACCCTAATGCATTGTCTTCTAATCGAGCCTTAAGTGTACTAGTCTATTCAGTTTTAAGTGTGCAAGCCTTTTTCTCACCATTAGAAAGGTGTCAAAAAAATGATACCTAAAGTCTGGCGGGAAAACAGAGACAGGGAACAGGAAGAGATGGCGAAGGGAGGAGATTGACGGCAGGGAGAGTTGGCGTAATGCGGGAAAATGACACACAGGCACACACGCGTGCACAAAGAAAGATGACCTCTGCTCAAGTTAACAATTAGCCTCATTGATCACTAACTTGCCCATTAGCTCCCTCTCTCTCTCTTCATGATTGCTGCTTATCGAGTAGTCGGTTCTGGCAGTGATGGTGTCTATTGATGAATCGGGTCTGCGCGCGCACACACATTCACACACCATGTGTATAATTAAAAAGCCGGTTCAGCAGTTAGTGGCTAATGATGCTAACACAATTAGAACAAATTTAGCCACATTTTGTGATATTAACGGAGTCTTGTGGATACTCTTAGGCTCCCTCCAGGGATCTTCACACCGAAGCCACCACTTGCAAATTCAAGCATATGTCCTGTAAGGCCAGCAGCTATAGGGATTTCATTGTATTTTCCCTGGTGGAGATAGCACTTAATTGCCAAACAGCCCAAATACAGTTGGTTGATTAGTGTAGCGGATCATGTGCAAACATCGTCAAACAGAAATATGAAAGGTTTGAGCATGTAACGAATAAAATATGCAACCTGGTAATAGCTAGGGCTGTATCTAACACATATTTTGGTATTCGGATATCCGACAAAAACATATTTTGAATAATCGGGCATTCAGATTAAAAAAAGTAATCCAACGGCTCTCGCCAGCCTTGATGGAGCATTTGAGTGCTGCTAGCGTTTGCTCACATTGGAGCCGCTGCTAAACACAAGCAACAGACGCCATACAACACAGTGCCAGCGTAATAATTTTTTAGCGCCATGAGTTAGCAATCGGATGTTATTTCAGGACGGCGACGTGTTGAAATCGGGAGCAATATTTTGTGACGCAAACGGCTCCAAACGCCGTCTAGAAGACAAGTCAAGTCAGCATTAGCCACGATCCGCTGCCGAGAGCAGCTTCAAAATAAAAGCAGACCTAGGCATTGATATTCATATATTATTTACTAAGGTAAGGTTTATTTTGAAGATACCCTTCTTACCATGATGGAGGCGTGTTACTGTCATGTATAGCATAAACAACTGCTGTGGTGGTTAGCTTGACTTCTTCTTGGCAAGGTACACGTAAATAAGCAGGTACTCGAAACACGGTTGTTGGTGGTTTGAACATGTAACGAATTAAGCATGCCACATGCAAAAAGCTAGTGAGTTTGTTGATGGCTTGAACATGACCACTCCAAGAAACAACATGTTACATGCTAACAGGTAACCACAAATGCATCACAAAGCAAAAGCATAGTGCGTTGACAATTTACGCCCGAGCAGTTGGGGTTAAGTCAAACAATTTGTTCACCTCGTAAATCATCTAACTTAACACCAGCTGCTGGTCATGGTGGCGGCTGTTGGCTAACAAGAGCAGTCGGCTCCTATCAATCATCCCAAAAAACCCGGCTCCTTGTCGCTTTTGTCTCGTCGCCATCGGCATGCACAAAAAGAAACTTTAGCCACCTCTTGAAATAGACTCAACACACATTATTTGTATACGTGTGTGTGTGTGTGTGTGTGTGTGTGTGTGTGTGTGTGTGTGTGTGTGTGTGTGTGTGTGTGTGTGTGCGTGTGTTTGTGTAAGCATGTGTGCGTATAAATAGTCCCCAAAGTGACAGGAGGCATCTCCCTCCATTACAAGCTAAAGATAACTAAATAGCATAGCTCACCAGCTTAGCTTTTAGCTTGGTCAAGAAGAAAATGTGCTACACTAACATTAAAATGTCTACTTTATTATAACCCTTCAGTGAAGAAATAGTACCAAGTGTGACAGGTGGCTTCACTCTCCATTAAAAGCTCATTAACCTGGCTAAGTACCTCGCTATTACTTTACGAAAGTACAGACTGCCTTACAACATTAAAATGAAAAAGCTCATTTTACACTTTTTGGCCAAATAGTCCCTAGTGACAGTAACCTTCTCCTTCCATAATGCGCTAAAGGTTATTAAATAAAATGGTTTTCAACAACATTAAAATGGAGTAGTTGATCATACACATTTTGGCTATAGTTCTGCGACAGGAGGCTTCTCCCTCCACGATAGGCTAAAAGCTAGCTAGCTATCATAGCTAATTAGCATAGCTATTAGCTCGCGACGGTAAAAAAAAAATGCCTTTCAAAAATATTTAAATGGTCTAGTTTATTACACACATTCTGGCAGAACACCAAAAGTCAAATGAGGCTTTTCCCTCCATCACAAGCTTGAAAAAAATAGCTGACTAGAGTAGCTAACTAGCATAGCTATTAGCTCACCAAAGTCGAGAAAGTGTAATGTTCTCTACCTAGCATAGCTATTAGCTCACCAAAGTCGAGAAAGTGTAATGTTCTATTTTATTTTCCACATTTTGTATAACTTGTCCTGAGTGACAGAAGGCTTCTCCCTCTATCACAAGTTCTTGTCTGAGAAACACTCGTGCGGGCGAGATTATGTAAATAATCATTTTTTTTCTCAGTAATGTCAGATAACAAATGATTGATTTAGTTGTTTAATTTCACACTTGATAGGTGGGAATGCACTCAAACAGCTATTTGGATATTCACATTAACATTAATAAATTTTCCATATGTTTCCTGAAGTACTCGTAGACTTTAAAAAAAAAAGTTAAATGTTTAAAAAATGGTGAGCTACTGGCGTCCGACACTTTTGATTTTCACGGTGACTATTTTTGGCTGCGAAGACTTAGACGCACAAGCACATGCACACAAAAACTCGATCGCAGTCTGGTCATTTCCTGAGTCTATTTCCTGTCACCTTTGACCTCAGCATTGGACACCCGTTTCCTACTTCCTGTTATTGCCTCTCCCGGCAGGAAGTCCACAAAATGTCACCCTCCCGTAAAAAATGCAGAGTACTTGTGCTTTAGTTGGAGACATCCAGCATATAAAAACAGTATCATATGTTTGTAAATTTGAACTATGAGCATGATCATTTACATCATCAAGAGTACTGTAATATTTGTTGCCTTCATTTAGATATTTTTATCCCGAAAATTGGTTCATTAAAATTTATTCATTTTTAAATCACTTCACATAATTGTGACATGATAGTAGTGGTGGATTAAGTTGAGCAGATGCTCCATGAAGGCCCAGCTAGCGAATGCACCGTTCAACTATATTCAAACAAGCTCAAACAAGAATGTCGTAAAAATGTGAAGAAAAGGAGGAGCTCATTAGTGCAGAACGGCTTGTGACCAAAAGTCGGTGGATGCGATCGTTCGCGAGGGATCAGACATGGCATGTGTTTACTCCCACTTCCTCTTCTCTGTGTGCGTGTGTGGGAGGAAAAAGTCTTATGGATACAATCTTTGACTACCTCCCTCCGTACCCAGTTTTCAAAAAACAAAAGTGCACAAGACAATACACTCGTAATAAATGAATATCTGCGCATATCCCTGTTAAAGAAGTAAAAATGAAATAAATTTGGGTTTGAAACAAAATTTGCCCAAAATTTCTTTTTTAACAAAAATATAGATCAATTGAACAAAAGTTATTTAAAATAGCGTAATTGCAATATCCAACTTTTTTGGGGGAGTTGAAAAATTCACATGTATTAAATGAAAGGAAAAAATGTGCATTTGGAAGAAATGACTAATGCGACACATGCACACCAAATCCGTTGTGAGCATTTCTGGCGGTGCAATTCATTTAAAGTCAATGCACTTCGCGCGGTGAGGCGCGGATGCATGCAGGGCGTGGCAGATGACACGTTTGGAGCAGTAAGAAGTGTGCGTGTGCACCGAAAATCCCCTCATTTCGTCTATTCGCCAAAGTTAAATGAATTTTAACGCGCTTTGCCTTGCGGCTGGCATCGGAATGTACTACGTCACACACAGCGTCCCGTACACTGCGGGATTTGTGACCACAGTTGCACAACCATCTACGCTCACACTCACCCCTAGGTACAATTTAGAGTCTTCCATTAGCCTGCCATGCATGTTTTTGGAATGTGGGAGGGAAGCGGAGCACCCAGAGAAAACCCACACACAACATGCAAACTCCACACAGAAAGGCCGCAGCCGGAATCGAACGCTGCACCTCTGCACTGTGGGGTGGACGTGCTAACCAGTCGACCACTGTGCGGCTGATCTATTCCAATAAAACAAATAAAGTGTAAACATTTTTGAATAAAGATGTGATGTGGGGAAAAAAAATCACAAAGGAAATGAAAAGGTTTTGACCAAATATTTTAACCCCCACAGAAATAGGACCGTTTAAAAATTATTTTTAAAAATCAGTTTGAAAGTATAGAAAAATTAGCCACATGAAGCATTTACGTTTTTGTTTTTTGTTTAATCTTTCAACTTAGCTCAACTGCACTTCCACTAAAAGCACTGTGCTATGTGTGTGCTGGCTGCCTTTCACAAGACTCTCATCTCAATACGGTACTGGAGCTGTTTCCATGGTAACAGTGACCTCCTGAGACTTTTTTTTTTGCTGTGAAGCAGCTTTTTACAATGCTCCCTCCCTCTTTCCCTCAACTCAACACTGTCCTCTGCTCTCTTTCGTCAGTGTTTTGTTTTTCACCTTGTTGCCGTGGAGACGCTGCACCGTCCTCCACATCTCTTCTGTGCACTCTTCTTGGTGTCTCTCTCTCTCTCTCTCTCTCTCTCTCTCTCTCTCTCTCTCCCCCCCCCCCCCCCCTCCTCTCTCGTTGCGTTCAAAATGTCTCTTCACGTATGGCAGGAGCAGATGCCTTGTTCAAGGCCGTCAGAACCGGCAGCAATGCACACTTGCTTTAAAAAGAAAGCACAGTCATATGTACTTAATTTAGAAAAAAGTGTTCACATTCATTTTTTTTTGCAAATGGTTTTTAAAGAATGTTTACAAGCTGATGTATTTTTTAAAACCATGTTCAAATGCATTTGGGTCAAAAAAACGTGATAATTGTATTTTTTGACTGTGCTCAAACTCATTTGAAAAAAGACACTCATATGAGAATTTATTGTAAGAGTAATGTGTAGCATTTATTTTAAAAAGTAGAAATAATGTCAACGGGCTGAGGCAATGTGGCATGATTCCTTCGTATGACTGGCCAAGAAGTTTGCCCTTAGATCAGGAGTCACCAGCGTGGGTGGTGCTTGCCAGCACCAGATATATAGCCCCCAGGGAGCACACTTGTAGCCCACGGGCCCGTTCTAAAGTTAGCTCGTAAGTAATTGGACATTGTGATTTTCTAGGAATGTTGTAGAATTGATTGGAAAATGTTAATATTGGCAAAGACTGGCAAACACAGTGCCTCATATTGATATTTATCCGATTCTTCACATAAATTCAGCAACTCTTAGAAGGGTGTGTCTAACTGGTAGCCCCTTGCATTAATCGGTACTTAAGAAGTAGCTCTCACTTTCAAAAAGGTTGCTGATCCCTGCCTCCGAAATGTAATTGCTTAATGGCACCGTTTTTCGTTTCTGGCATTTCAAAAATTAGGGATGGGCGATATATCTTGATCGAATCGAAATGTAAACATTCAAGATATTAAAATCAGTCATGTGACCTTGCCACGTTTTTGTTGCATGTAGATCTCAGTTCAAACAACCGCATTCCTCCTTCTAAGTTTGGCGTTGATCGACAGTGGAAAATCAGCAGATGACAATCATATTTTGGAGGGCAAGAGGAGGGACACACGAGCATAGTTCATGTCGCTGGGAATCCATACATCACATCGTCATGTTATGCATCAATGCATAGGATACCACCATCGTAATGTGCGGGGCGAGTGTGTTTTTATTTTTTTCCCCCAAGCCACACAACACATCCATCCACATTCTAAGCCGCTTATCCTGACAACGGTTATGCATGGGCGCATTGGTACATAACGCACACGTTGATGCCTTTAACACACGCACGCAACCACAACAAACGCTTCTCTTGCAGCATAAAATTGTAATTTCATCATGAAAGCACAGTTGCAGTACAACGTGAATTACTTTTAAATAATTGCTGACTTTGTTAATGTTGGTTGCTGTCAGTAACTACTACTAAAAAAAAAATAAATAAAATAAAATAAAAAAAGGGAAAGAAAGTACACTTTCCACATTCTCTTGGATTGATATTTTGTTTTTTCTTTTAAAAAATGCTTTTTATCGCTCATTATCCTGTCGTTAGCGATATTAAATTTAGCCATATCACATTGCACAATCAAAAATGTTGGTTGCCAAATCTGCTCTCCTCGTCTTCTCACATTCTGCCTTTGCCTCTTTGTCATAGTTATGCGTAGAGGTGCCATTTGCACCTGCCATTCGGGTGCGGTATTTAAACATGTACAATTAGCCAAAGCGATATTTCATGCTGAATGAATTGATTTGATACACTGGTCCCAGAATGCATGCAAATGAACTGCACTGTGTTTGGCGGACACGCTCCTCGGTGCACCCGGTTGGTGGATCATTTGTTTGCATGAGCAACCAAGTCGATTTTTGCACGCAGTCATTTGAGCAAAACTGGCACCGTGTACCGTTCAATGTAAAGTGTGTAATGATTGGTTGTCGTCCTGTTCGCCAGGCCAAGCTGATTGTGCCCAACAGCACGGCGGGCCTGATCATCGGCAAGGGCGGCGCCACCGTCAAAGCCGTGATGGAGCAGTCGGGCGCTTGGGTGCAGCTGTCGCAGAAGCCCGAAGGAATCAACCTTCAGGAGCGCGTGGTCACCATCAGCGGAGAGCCCGAGCAAAACCGCAAGGCGGTCGAGATCATCGTGCAGAAGATCCAAGAGGACCCGCAGAGCTCGTCCTGCCTCAACATCTCCTATTCCAACATCACCGGGCCAGTGGCCAACTCTAACCCCACAGGCTCGCCATACGCCAACTCGGCCGAGGTCATGCCGGCGGCGGCAGCGGCGGCGGCGGCTACCGCCTCCTCGCTCCTCGGTCAAGCAGGGCTGGCGGGGGTGGGCGCCTTCCCCACGACCATGTCCAGTCTGTCGGGCAACGACCTGCTCACCATCACGTCCGCCCTCAACACGCTGGCCAGCTACGGTTACAATACCAACTCTCTGGGGCTGGGGCTCAACCCGGCTGCCGCCTCGGGGGTCCTCGCCGCCGTCGCCGCCAACGCCAACCCCGCGGCCGCAGCCGCCGCCAACTTGCTGGCATCCTACGCCAGCGACGCGTCCACCAGCGCCGCCCACCAGGCGGCGGGGCTGGGCGGCTTCTCCTTGGGCTCGCTGGCAACTGCCACCGGGGCCACCAATGGGTACCTGAGCGCCGCCTCACCCCTGATGGCGTCCTCGCTGCTGGCCACCGAGAAGCTGGCGGAAGGCGCCAAGGAGGTCGTGGAGATCGCCGTGCCAGAGAACCTGGTGGGCGCCATCTTGGGCAAGGGCGGCAAGACGCTAGTGGAGTACCAGGAGCTGACCGGCGCTCGCATCCAGATCTCCAAGAAGGGCGAGTTCATCCCGGGAACCCGGAACAGGAAGGTCACCATCACGGGATCACAGGCGGCCACCCAGGCAGCGCAGTACCTGATCAGCCAGAGGATCACCTATGAGCAGGGGGTGCGTGCCACCAACCCGCAGAAGGTGGGCTAACCCACCACGCTCCCACGAAGAATCGTGAGAGGGAAGAGGAGAGGAGAGCGAACCCCCCCCCCACCCCCTCCCCAAACCCCGACCCCTCTGCATTGTCTTCTCAGTATTCGCCCTTTGGAAAAAAAAGTGCTGAGATGACAAAAAAAAAAGTGTAAAATGTAAATATGTTTTATTACTTAACGTCTTTATGGACTTTTTATTCCTTTTTGTTGCGTAAATTAAGATGTTTGTTTCGTTTGTGTACTGTGGACATGCTGAATGACAGGAAGTAGGGGAGGAGAGCCCCCACCCCCCCAGCCTTCCCACCCACCTCCTGCAGGGTTTTTGTTGGTTCAATTTGCCCCTTTCCTTCCCCTGTCGCCCCCCTCGTGAGGGTTTCATGACTGCAAAGGTGTGTATATGACAGAACAAACGCACCCCCAACCCCAAATCCCTGCCCACACTTTGCCCCAAATTTTCCGTCCCACATTGATGACCTCACGTAGCGAGCGATACTGTGCTGCGCAGCGTGATGACATCATTACTATTTATTCTTATCCAGAGGAGGTGAATGTAAATCTTTTATTTTAATGTTTTTGGACTGAAGATGAATGCTAACGCCACATAGTGTAATATATGTCTTATTTAAGCCTGGGGAGGGCGGGCGCCACCTATGTTAGGGGTCTCCTCGTTCGCGCCCCCCTACCCCCCTCCCCACTCTTATCTTGACCCGGCTTATCCTCCCTGGCGCTTGCTAAACCATAAAATGGAGTCCCTGCTGGCTAAAAGCGCTTGGGACTAACTACTGAAAAACAGGCGGCGAGGGTGGCAGAGGTTACTGGCGTGTTCGTTTTGTGTGTTCTTTTGTGCTGTTTTTTTTTTTACAGTCGGAGTACACTGAATTGTTGTCTTAATGCACTGTGAAGCAAGGGGACGCAACTGGACGACTTTTTTTGTATGGCAGGGAACACTAACGAATATGAAATATCAATTATTGTATATGAATTTTGCATTGGAAGGAATACTGAGAACCAGTCGTCAATCGGCAGAGGTCCTTGGGAAAGGACGGGATGTCAGGTGGGAGCGCCGGGAGGGGGGGCGGGGGTGGCAAACTTTTCCTTCATCAATAGGACATTTCCCTGTGACGTCACACGTACCTCCGGGTGGCAAAAGACGGAGCTAATTGAACAAAACGTTTGGAATGATGATTTTTGTTCCCGAGCTTGAATGTGTGAAATGTCAGTTGGGGAAAAAAAAATTGTTAGGTAAATAACTTGGGAAAAAGATGGAACGCTGAAAGAAATTAAGACATATCACATGATCACTGAGGGACGAAGTAAATGAGCGTTTACTCATTCACTGCCAGCCATTTTCCAAGCAGAACCAAACAAAAGAGATTCTCTTCTTTCACCAGATAAAACAGTTTGTTCGAGCTTTTTCCATCTTGAGTAGAAACGCCTGTTTCGGACCAAACTGCGATGCAAACGAGCTTTCTGTGAAAACAAAAACAAAACAAAAAAAAAAAAACATCAAGCAGGACAGTGACTGATCTTTTTTTTTTTTTTTTTGCCACCAACTCGTAAACGCCGTAATAAGATATACAACTAAGAAACGTGCCGTGAGCGACAGTGGCTCAGCACATCAATGTCAGCCCTTCTGGCCATTGTGAAGCAGAATTCGCCAAGTGTTGATTTGAGCGGGGTTGAGACCACCGTGGGACAGGTTAGCTTCACTTTACTGGTGATGTGTTCGTGGCTTTTTTTTTTGTAACATGCATTCTTCATTTACTACATAAATAGCATCATCTTTTCTCACAATCGAGACACATTTTGTAACCTACCAAAACACATAGTCTCATTTATACCATACATAAAGTATGCATAATCCGCTTGAGCGTGTCGTGCCTCAACTTTCCCAATTTCCAACACATTTATCTCCCTCATTACCAATGTGACGAGCAGATATTTTTCGGAGCTCAAGAGTTGCGTGCATCTAAAATCCAAAGCGATGCAAGGCATTACAATGTTTTTGTCATGACAGGGATTCGGATAAATGGCACAGACATGCTGTTTTGATGCTAAACTGGCTAGCGCGCTATAGGGCGGACGGTAGCGCGCAGGCTAGTCATCACGTTATGCTAATTGACTCAAAGACAACACTCACCGCATTTATCCTGATCATCGAAAACTTTTGATGGATTATTTTTAGCTTCCTGTTGGAAAAGGGGGGGGGGCGGCAGTTTGGAGACGACATTTCTTACTAGTTTTTCTCATAGTTTTATTTCATGTCAGAGGTAGCCACTCGCTTCTCTGCCACCCGGAAGCACCGTTGGCGCCTGTTGTTTACAAACATTCTGAAAAGGTCTTATTGAAGTGAATGTAAAAAGTCAACAGAGGGGGTGCGTTGGATTTATTCACCCTGGTGAGCGTGCCCGAGTGGGGACTCCTCTCCTTCCTCTTCAATAGTTTGCCTTTCATAGGCGTCGCTAGGCCGGCAAGGCTCTCTGGTAAGGAGGCTTCTTTACTCCATCTTTAACTCCATCCTCACGCACCCGCCACTCCCCCATCCCGACTACGCACCCGCCCCCACACCCCTCTACCACATCGCACCACTGGCGGCGACCATGATGCATGCCTCCTCTTCTCGTCGTCGTCTTTTTCTTCTTCTTCTGCTGCTGCTGAGGATCTTTGAGGAGTCAAGCAGGAAGTCCCAGTTTTCTTCTTGCAGATATTGTCATGGCAGCCATGGGATGTTCCACTGGCTTGGGTGCACCAAGTAGTAATACGGTGAACTCCCGCATATTCACGGTTTAGGCATAGGGTACTGCAGATTTCTTTTTTCCAACCTATTGTGATCATGAGCTGATTTTGCACTCAGGCCAAAGCAATAAAAGTATGACTTTGGCGCCGCACTGTGGCATCTTGGTTTCAAAGAACCTCAAAGTGAATTGAGGAGTTTCATTTACACACAAATAGAGCTTTGCTGGCGTCTTGTGGCATCTTGGTGTCAAGGAACGATGTTGAAGTGGATTGGGGAGTTTCATTAACAGACAAATAGTGCATGGCTGCCATCTTGGTGTCAAGAAACTGTGTTCAAGTTGAAGGTTTCATTTCGACAAAAGGTCTTTTTCAACTTGCGGCATTTTTAGACAATTATAAACCTGTTGGGGAGGGCTGAGGGTGTCAATTGTTTGCAGATTTTTGCGGGTTCACTGTATCGAAGACATTTCGGGGTGGCAAGATCAACATTTTAACAGGTTAGCATGCAGCTTTGTGGACTTCCTGCGGGGGCAGTGTTGTGTTTCCACAGTGGGGAGAAAACCCTCCTCCTTGATTTGGTGATGAGCAGCAGAAGCGATACGTGTTGTCTCGTCCCAACCGTTTTCCTGTTCCGATGCTTTTTTTTTTTTTTTTTTGCGACTGATTGTAGTTTGGTTGTTTCATTGTTTTTGTATCAGTGGGAAATGCTGCTGCTAAGATATGGTAACTGAAAAACAAACAAACAAAAAAAAAACATATCAAGTGTAAGTTTAAAAGAAAAAAAAAGTCCTCAAACTTGTAAGTAGTAAAAAGCTGTGCCAAAATTTTTTGATTTGATATTGCAAACATACAGTACTTTTTATACCAGGAAAAATGTGAAAAAGTGCCAAATGAATGAGGCGTATTTCCTTTCTATCAAAAAGCAAGGAAGCGCTTCATCACTGGTAGTCTGGATGCTCCCACAATGCAAGAGTAGAGGGAACCAATAAACCATAGCGATAGCTTAGCATTACTATGCTGGAATACGGACAGAAAAAATAATGTGACTCCATAGCATTCTTTAAACCTTTTTCTAGTGAAGATGTATTTTGTGGGAATAGATGTTAACCTTTTTGCACGTGTATATTGCATGATGTCAAGTGTGGACAAAAAAAAAAATCTATACAGTTTAGACTGTGTTGTTTATTAACAAAAACATCGAACAAACCCCGACAAACCCCAAAAGTCCCAGATCACAGCATTTTTTTTCTTTTGCGCTAATCTGGCTAACATGGATGCTAACGTCCCATTATAATTCGCCCCACCCCTTTGTCCCTGCACTCGCTGCATGCTTTTTTTTTTTTTAACGCAAATCAGTATTTCAGGCGCAATGAATTTCTTGTTACATTTGCCAAAAACAAATGAAAAGAACAAATGCCAATGATATTACCTCTGAAGCTGGCAAATTAGTGGTTCGACTCCAGCCGCGAATTCTGTGTCGGTAACTTTCACATAGGTTGAAAAGAATTCCACACAAAATGTTTGGTCTCAAACCACAAGACATTTTTATTCAAAAACAGTATTTGCGGAAAAAGCATCCCTTTTCTTTCAGATTTGAACAAAACACATTTGCACTAATTTTTGTGTGGCAAGGGGCCAAGCTGGGGGGATTTGGGGAGCGTTTGCCGGGGTTGGTGTACTGCATGCTCCATCCACTCACCCTTTTCCGCACCCTTTTTTTTTCCACCCAAAACTTTTGTGAGGGCCCAGCAACCGTTAACTTGCTACACCTTGTTGCTAGCATGTTAATATGCTAACTAGATGTTTGCGCCGTTTCCACAGGGGAAAAAAATTACTTTCTACTCTCACCACACATATGGGACCCATGTCTACCCCCCCACCCCCCACTTGCCACCAATCATCCCTCTCAAAACTACCACTTTGAAACACCAGCAAATGTCGACTGCATTTGTCATATCACTGTTTCCTATTTTTACTAGTTCTGTGGGATTTTTTTTTTTTTTGGTTGTTTGTGTTCAACTAACCGATAAAATGCCATTTGTGTGTGTGCATGTGTAGCCTGTTTACTTGCAAATCACACGTAAGCCCCTTTCACACAAATGTTTTGAAAAAAAAAATGACTATTTCATCAAAAATGTCCTTATCTCAACTTTCCGCTGTCCTCTTAGACACAAGCGGCAGTCCGGCAAAATTTGGGGATCGATTTAACCCCGCATTCCGTGTTGGTACCTTTCACACAGTGCAATGACCTGGGAAATATCTGACTATGATAGGCAGTATTTAATAAGAAAAATTTGTGCATCAGTGACATTACAGTGAAACGTTAGTCGCAATCCTGCCTCTGATAATATTTAGAAAGACGCTGAATTTACAGCTTGAGTTTATCAGCCCCTTTCCGTGTTCATGCCTTTCACACAGAACAGCAAACCAAGAAATGCTGGTTCTGATTAACAGTGCGAAAAGGGATACTTATGATTCCGTTTTTGCCATTTGCTGCTGTCCTTCCTATGTTACATCAGTAATTCTATGTTCGAAGCAGGCAAATTTGCTGGTCAACTTCCAACACGTACATGTCACACAGTTTTGAATAAAAACTTGAAAACGGAATGTTGGACTGGCAGTGTGAAAGGGTCTACTATGCGGCATTCTGACTTTGATGCCAAGTCCGAAGTCATCAAATTCTCAGCTTGATTTCAACAGCCCCGCTCCATATGAGTACCTTTCACACAAAACTGTGATGGGTGAATAAAAAACAGCACTAATGAGCAGAGTGAAAGGGGAAATTAGCACAAGAGAGATACCCTCCTTTCTGTGTTGCTTACCTTTCATGCAAGTAAGTGGAGGATGGCGGGGGGGGGGATGTGGGGGGACAGCGAAAAGTTGGTGTGAAAGGGACTTCATTCATGCCCTCTTTTTTGCACTTCACTGCCCCCCCAAACACACAGACACACACATGTTGCTCTTCTTCCTCCTCCTCTTCGTCGTCACCAGTGCCAAACCTTCGGAGTAAGCCCCCCCCATACACACCTTCACCCCCACGCCCTCAAAGGGGCGCCGCGATCATTCCGAGCTTCACGTCACTCTCGTGTCGGGACAGCCCGTGAAGCCAGCATGCTCCGCCCCTCCTCCATCACATGACGACACCCCTCTTTCCCACCACCACCCCTCCCACCCTTGCACCACCACTTCCTCCTCCTCCTCCTCCTCCTCCTCCAGCAGGATTAACCCTTCCCTCCGTCTGTCCGTCCCTGGCCCAGGTCCGGCCAAGGAGCCGCCCATCCCCGCCAGCTGCTTCCTAACTCTTGTCATGTTGTTCTTCAGCTGTGGAGATCCTCATTGATCGTGTGCCATAGTTTTGGGGGGGCACCTGTCACCCCTTCGTCACCCTTTCTCTCTGTCTCCTCTCTCGCTCCATTTTTTGAGGAAAAAAAAAAAGACATTGAAAACTCCCCATTTTTTTTCTAACAACGAAGATATTTTTGGAGCCGATTTTCACCACCCCCCCTCCTCCTCCACCACGCCACCACCCCTTGCTCGCTCATGAACTTTATTATTGATCTTCCTCCTCCTCTTCCTCCTCCTATGTTCATCTCCAGCTGTCGGGACAATAACTCTCCATTCCATAAGTCCAAAAAAAACCTCTGTGAGACTGTGCAATGCTCGCTGATATGATTATTATTATTATTTTTTGCTTTGATCTTTTTTTTTTCTTTGTTACAGGGGCCCAGACATGAAATGTGGGAAACATTGTTTGATTGTGGCTTGCTATTGCTACAACAGGGGCACAAAATGCTCATTTGTGGCCACAGTCTATTATTTTGTGGCCACAGAATACTAAAATTGTGACCATGGAATATGAAGTTGTGGCCATCAAATACTAAAATGTGGTGAGGAATATTGTGGCCATAAAACGGGTCTAAAGTGTGCATGAAATACAAATTTGTGGCCATGACATATTAACGTGCAGTAAAAATACTAAATTTCAATTACAAGATAACCACTGCTGATAGTATTATTCATTCATATTTTGTGCGCTTGTTATATCTACTTATTGTACACAAATTAGTATTTCATGGACACGGCATACCAATTTATGGCCACAAAACCCAAAATCGTGAGCACTGAAATACCGATTTGTCAAATCTTCATTTGTATTTTGTGCACACGCGTACTGTGTGGCCATAAATTTGTATTTTAGGTCCACATCATATTCACATCGTGGCTACAATTAAAACATTATTTGCCCCATGTCATGTTTGAGGCTCCATACCTTGTGGCTCATCATCGGGGACAAAAAAGAAAAAAAAAAGGGGGGGGGGGGGTTAGACAAACAAAAAAAGTTGTTTCTTTGCATTTTCTGTTGTCATTGTAAATAACCTTTTTTGTACAGGGCGGGGCAGCATAAAGACTTTAGCTGTGCTCTTGTTAATCGTGTTCGTCGTAGCTGCTGTATTCCCCCTGTTTAGTAAGTCCCCCGTCAGACATATCACTTCACTCATTGAGTTTTTTCGCTGGCTAGCGGCGCTGCTAACTTTGTGCAATACGGTCGGGTTTCCAGCCAGCCATCAGCACATATCCTCCTCCTCCTCCACGCCATCACATGATCAAAAGTATTAATAACGCCACCAGTGATAATTTTTCATTTCACCGCATGGCTCTCTGACTTCCACCCCCTGATTTTATGCTGCCCGTTGCCCCATTTCCACATACATACAAACTATTTATTTCCCAACTCATTAATAATAAATGAGTCAAAAGGGAACGACTGGACAAAGAGAAAATAGTTTGGATTTTTTTTTTTTTTTTTTAGTATCCAAGTAGTGGTTGCTTTTTAACACCGTTGATGAGCTGACGTTAAAAAAAAAAAAGTATTGAATATTAAATGTAACTGTAGCATTGTGTTTGTAAAGAGACAAAAAAAAAAAACTAGTGAGTTTGTGTTTGTTGACTTGTGGATTACCAGTGAAGTGAAGGCCATCTAGTCCTAATAATAATAATAATAATAATATCAATAAGAACTACTACTATTATTATTATATGATATGAGGTCATTTTCTAAGGATTCTTACTTTGCCACAGCAACAGCAGTCATTATAAATGTTCATTTTAGCATCACCTGTCTTCTGTTGTCTTATTCTTCACCTTCCACCACACTCTGCATCATCACACTTTAACACATCAGGGGCTGAGCGTGTGTGTGTATGTGTGTGTGTACGTGTGAGTGAGTGTTTTAGTCGGGCAGGTTGGATGGATGGATGGATGGATGGATGGGTGGTAGGGGGGGTTGTTGTCGTGTCCAGTGTCCACCAACAAGCTAAAACCAGTCAGGCTTCCATACCCCCTCATGGAAGCTCCTGGCGTCGTTATAGCTGCCATGTGACCATCATGTGATCTGACTCAGCTGACTGTCCATAACCCCGCCCCCCGAAACCACCCACCCACCACCAACCAACCAACCAACCACCGCCGCCGCACCACCTTTCAAGTCACCTGACCAAACCAAAAATCAACCAATCACTGTCCTCCTCCACTGCTGCTGCTGCTGCTGCACACCATTTGACGTTCTCCATCGATAACTCACTACTGTCCTACTAGTGGCACCATATGCGCTCACGCGTCTGCAGGCCTGGGGAAGAACGTGCAAACAGCCCTTTAAACGGACAACAATTGGCTCTGCGTGTCCATTTAAGGACAATCATTCCACCGGAGCCCCTCCCAAGACAAAAATCACTTTTCTTTACTTCCCTTTAAGGACAATAATAAGCTCTATGTACAGTGTGTCCTTTAAAAGACAACAATCCACCTCGTTTATGGTTCAAAGTACAACAATCACTTCCATTAATGTCCTTTTAAGGATAACAGTCACCTCCGTACATGTCCTCTCATGGACAAACAATCCCATCTGTGTACTGTATGTGCCTGTAAGGACAACAAACAGATGTGACTATGTTCCTTCCAGGTCAACGATTGTCTCCAAGCGTGTTCTTTCAAAGACGGGAATCATTTCCATGCGTGACCTTTCAGGACAACAATCAGCTCCATTTATGTCCCTTAAGGTATAACCGTTGGCCCCATGTATGTCTCTTTAATAATTGTCCTAGTCTAGTCCCCGAAAAGGACAAACATTACCTTCAACTGGATTTAACGCCTTTCAAAATAACGTCAAGAATGCATACTGTGACATGGAGACAAACTTTCCACTAAGCAGTGCAATAGTTTTAAGATTTGCGTGTCCCAAGAACCACATTTGACAACTGTAAGATTGGACCCGAGGTACATGGCAGGTTGGGACACACGGTGATGCGGTCGCCGTGGCCGAGCGTTGTCAAGAGAGAGCCGAGTCAAAAAGGCAAAACTCTCCATTTTACTGCATGTTCCAACCCTGACGACGGTCACCAGCTTTGAGTGGAGACCAAAAAGACAAACAAACGAGCTGACCCATGTCAGGTGGGCTTTGATCATTTGGATCAGGCGTTTATTTGGGGTGATTTGTGATAGCTTCCTTAGCAACGTATTCCAAGGAATGTCAAACCAGGTGGAAATCTCAGGCCAGACCAAAGACAAGATCACAAGCGTTTGCAAGGAAGTCCCTCCGTCATGTTTTAGGTCAGGGTCAGTCACACGAGAATGATGAGCCAGTTTGGTTAAATCAGGCATTTATTTCTTCAGCTGTGAGGAATTGTGTTCTCGGGAACATCCAACAAGGAGAAGACCTCAGGACAGACCAAAGACTACATCGCACGCGACTGCAATGAGGCACCTGCAGAGGGTTGGGCCTTGGTCATCTGGATGTCCGGCTCGGGCTTTATTTGGGATGACTCCGAGGGGACTCACTGGTGTTCAGGGGTATATCCTACCAGAAGGAGACTTCGGGGCTGAAGGGAGGTTTTGTCCCTCAGCCAGCCTGGAAACGCCTCGGGAGGTTGCCGAAGATGAGGAAGACTAGGCTACCCCGATCAGAATGCACCCACCGGCATGACTTGCATAGGAGTACTCACGGTACGTAAGGTGATCCCCGTCTACAAATTCAAGATGCCGAACGTTCTCTTCCAAACGGAAATCTAAACTGCTTGGTGGAAAGTTGTTCGGGTTCAGTGTCGTCCTCCCCCGGAGCTGCAGACTACACTCGTGTCTCTATTCGTGTCCGTGGCGCATCCTCCTCTACGAGGTCCGCCTTAACCTGTTTCCATGCCAACTGCAGTCAGTTGGCATGGCAACCAGCCGCCGGTAGAGTTCTGGAGGAAGGAAGACGAAGTCAGAGGCGCGCCGCTGATTCTCAGGGTGTCGTCGTAGTTCCTTCAAAAGCGCTTTTAGCGTGTGCCCTCCCGACCGAGCCCTAAAGACCGGTCCGACCTTTTCTCAGAGCCAGTCAATTGATAGCATCGGTTCTCCGCTACTAACTTAATGTTTACAACCCCAAATGAGACCAACAACGCTGTGGAAAGAATGTCAAGCGACAGAGGAAGCGAGCGGACGCTTCTTTGTCGACCGACCGTGAACTTTTTCCGCTGACTTTTGTCTGTGACGTGAGCTCATGTACTTTTCGTGTTTCAACCATTGCTGCATGTGACTGTGAGGGTGTGCAATGAAACTGCGGGGCTGGACGATGATGATGATGATGATGATGATGAAGGTACCCTTTTCTGTGACATCCGTCCAGCGACTGCTCGTGGACCAATGAATGCTAATGTGTGACCATGCGAAGCTGTCAAGTTTTGTTGATTTGTACATGGTCCAATAAACCATTGAAGCAAAGTCGCATCTTAAGTCATGTGACCACAGGTAAGTGAGAGCGGAGGTGATCTCGTTGGGGGCCCGTCACGGCAGAAGGGTCCGTCCGTGCGTCCTCTTGACATATCCATCTACCCACAATCCTCCTGTGCACCAGAGCCATCCGATCAGCCAACACCGCCACATCCGCCATGACTCCACAACACGGCGGGTTCCTGCGGCCGCCTCCGCCCCCTCTCCATGCCATCGGCTGAGTGGCTTCTTTCCGGCAGTGGTTGCAAAGCCTCCTGGGAAACCGAGTCCTCATTCACAGCATGGTCCGACCAACCTCCTGTCACTCTCCTCCTCCCACACTCTTCCTCCTTCCTCTTCATCCGCCCAGATAAAGAAGCTCCTCCGGCAACAAGGCACGCTCGTAGAGTGTAACCGCTTGCTCAGGGCATTTCGCTTTTTAACATTTTAGCAAACGGTATTTTGTCCAAAACTTTATGAAGTTTATCGTCCGCGAAGATGAAGGGGGCACCATCTTTGTGACAGTGTCATGGGCAAGGCTTTTTAATGTCTCACACATACAAATTGCAGCGACGGCGGTCGACTGGTGAGCACATCCGTCTCACAGTGCAGAGGTGCAGGCTTCGATTCCAGGCTGCGGCCCTCCTGTGTGGAGTTTGCATGTTCTCCCCATGCCTATGTGGATTTTCTCCCAGATTCCAAAAATATGCGTCGCTGGTTAGTGGAACACTCGAAATTGTCCCGAGGTGTGAGTGTGAGCGCGAATGGTTCTTCGTCTATGTGTGCCATGCGATTGGCTGGCAACCGGTTCAGGGTGTCCCCACGTCAACTGCCCAAATACGGCTGGGAGGGGCTCCGGCACCCCCGCGGCCCTTGTGAGGATAAAGCGGCTCACATCATGGATGGATGGAAGGATATGGACAAATTATCACCAAAACATTCAATGTTCGCCATGAGGCCAAGTTCAGGGCAAGCATGTCAAACAAAAATTCCAAACTCTCCGCACTTTTTTTTTTTTATCCGATTGTTTCTACCCTTGGTTGGCTTAGATCTTTATGAGATCTTCTGGGATTAAATTAATCCCCCCCCCAAAAAAAAAAAAAACAGTAAAAAAATGTACATCAAGTCACAATTTAAATGTCTTGATGAGAGCTTTTGAGATCACTTCTGAAGTTTTTAATATGCTCTCAAAAAAAAAACTAAACAAAAACATAAAATCATGCATTTTGTGGTAAAAATAGGACACGGGTCTTAACAGCTTATTGAACTCTCTAATCAACTTGATATTCATCATTAGGCATCGGTCAATATTAGATTCTGACGGTATGAAAACCATGAGCAAAATTATTGCGGTTTCACGGCATCGCAATTGCAGCTCTAACGTGTATTACTTTGAAATGTCTGGGTGAAATAACTTTCTAATTTCCCATTCAACGTGCTTCAGAGGTGCAACTGTCAACGCCAGACGAAAACCAAGAACTGAATGTTCCCAAATAAAATCAAAATGTCATTATTTGGAAGAAAATAACTCCGACGGCTAGTTGTAAACGTTCATGTCAAGACAGCATTCAAATAAGATACATTACCTTGAATTTGGCAAAGAGAGACGGGTGGTGCTGACTTCAATGTGATATTCTACCTCGACCGAGCCGCAATAGCCTGACTTTGGATGAACTGTGCAGTGTCCTCTTTTGAACTGTTCCCCAAGCGCCATTTTTCCAGGAACCAAGTTGGAGTCATTCCGAAGTGCATCGTGGGAGCATTTTCTGCTTCCCGAACTGGCGTCAGACGCTTCTTGTTGACTCTGCAAGCACATGAACATTCATTTTGATCGTAAAAAGTCATTTTGATCATAAAATTCACATTGAATCTCGAAGTAGCACAGTCGAACGGTGGTTAACGCATCGGCCCCATAGTCAACCTCTGCGCTTGAAAGTGCGGGTACTTTGGCTCCCCAAACGATGTATGTTAACTTGAAGCTTTGTGTCTTGTATGTGCCCTGACATTAACTGCTGATGAGCCCAGAGTGAACCTAGCTTCCTTCACCAAAAGGTCAGGATAGACTGCGGCTCGTCACAAAAGTGGGACACTCAGATGTCACCTCGACGCTGCGGGCAACTATCTTTAGCTTCAAGCCTCATCTTCCCAGGCATACAAGCGCTTGCTTCACACCGACTTATCCGCCTTTGTCAACGCCGGCCCGGCAGTGCCATTACCCGCTTGGAGACGGGAGAACACAAAAAGCGATAAGGACTGCAGCCTTGAAGAAGCTCGCTAAGACCAGACCATGCAGGGAGCATGACGAGAGGCTCACCGGAATGCCAATAACATGCCTTGCCGGATTTTGAGGTGCAAGATCGATAAATTGGCTTGAAAAGTCAATCTAACGTACTCACATTGCAATGAATGATGAGGCGCAGTCAACCCTCTAGACGAGTGGTTCTTAACCTTGTTAGAGGTACCGAACCCAACCAGTTAATATGCACATTCACTGAACCCTTCATGAGTGAAAAACAAAACTATGACTTTTTTACAAATTCAAGACATAAAAATGCATTTATTAAAAACAGAAGAAAAATTAATACAATTTAAAGGGATAAGTATACTTTTTTTTTTTAAATTTTACGATGTACTATCACGACAGTCACACGCTGACTACTGAGCGAATTAAATTTCCCGCAACACTGATTGGACAAGCAATGTCATGTGATCACCTGCAGCCAGTGATGGACAAGAGGGCGTGTCATAACTAATGGACATCTTGAGTCACGTGTTTTTTAACTTCCATGGCAGAGGCTCCGTCGAACCCCTGAGACCGATTCATCGAACCCCTGGGGTTCGATCGAACTCAGGTTAAGAACCACTGCTATAAACAAACAAGCATTCACTCCAATGGACAATCAAGAGACTTCACAGAAGCCAACGTGGAAAAACTCACACAGGGAGGTCAAAATAGAGATTCAAACTCTGAACCTCAAACGTTGAGGTAGGAATGCTAACCACTTGACTTTTGTGCTGCCCGCCAAAAGAAGAATGCGCGTGAAATTTTGCGAGTCACTGAAAAAAGCTGTGTGTGTGTGTGTGTGTGTGTGTGTGTGCGCGCGCGCGCGCGCGCATGCTGCACTTTTTACTCGGCATTACGCTGATCTTTTATCTCCAAAAAGCAATATCGTTTATATGAAACTCAGATTAGAAGTGGCCTTTGTAAATAAAATCCCATTTTTGGGGGGCAGCGAAAACCAAAGCTCACAAAGTGATCTTCAAGTTGTGTCAAACAAGAAGTAGCGCTATTGAGAATGTTTGTGACTTGTGGTAAACATGATGTGCAAATAAATGTTTGTTGGAATTAAAAAAAAAAAAAATGATAATAATAATTTTTAAAAAACATGTTCCAGTGGGTGCTTCATGTGGTCGGGACTAACATCAGCAGAAAACAGGAAGTGCTAAAGGAAGGTAAGATGTATGCTTTCGTTGAACGATGATGCGCAACCAGTGGAGCCATCAAGCAAAACCGTTAAGTCACGTGGCCCAATGACGTAAATAAAGCTAAGCCTTCCCTCACTTCAAAGATTAAACCCAACAGGTGACAAGTTTCAACGTTAAACAGGACTATGGCTCAATATAAAACAAACGAAACCCAAGACAAGACTAGGATGAAATCTAAAATAAACTAGACCTCAGGCAAACATAAAACAGATTAAATTGAAGACAAACGAGTCATAAGAGAGGACGAGCACTCAATGAAAATTCTAAAAGTAAATGGACAAAACTTAAAAAAGGGCTGCGACGGAACAAAAACTTTACTAAACTTAAGACAGAACAGAGATGAAAACTAAAGGGGTGTTCACACGGCACACATTTGCTCCGGCGCTACACCGATGTATTTTGTTGCGATATATTTTTACACCGGAGCAAATTTTGTGGAGCGGTCACACGTACAAAGCCGCTGAGCGTGTTAGCACTGGCGCAGTGTCGGTGCAGCTCCACTTGCGGTCACACGGCAGTTTCTGCAGCGGAGCCAAATGACAGAAAACAAATGAGCTGTCGTGTTGGTTATTTTTAAAACAAATATACACAACTCAAGCAACTACTGTACAGGCACGTCCTTCTCCTTCTCGGTCTCCGTGCCTTCTGCTCGAGAGTGACCGCCCCCGAAAACGTAAATCAACGATGACTTCAATGACACTCAGAAAAGCAAACATGTAATGCGCCAAACAGAAAAATCAAGAGAGGAAATCACAAAATAAATTCTGCGGGGGGCGGGGGGTTGTGAACACACAACAAAGGAACAAACTACACAAACAACTCCGAGACGGTCCAGTCTCCAACAAAAGGAAAGATGACATTTGGAGACTATCCCGCCTCCCCCGTTCTAGTTGAGATGGTATCACCCAAGAGGTGCCGCTTGCTACTGTTATCAGCCATGTCTTGTGTTGTTATTAAACAAACACATGACGGAAGTCCAACAGAGCACGAAAGCAACGCATTCTCGCCGTATGTAATCAACTCTTCTCATGCGTAGCGAGGCTACTCCCCCCTCGCAAACGATCATTTGCTCCGGAGCAAATTTTAGCGTTCACACGTGCAAATTTACATTGATGCTGCGCCCCAAACGAGCATTTGCTCTGGAGCAAATTGGAGAGTTCACACGTGCAAATTTACATCGGTGCTGCTCCGCAAGCGAGCATTTGCTCCGGAGCAAATTTAACCCACCTCAGGGAGGTGGTTTAAAAATTTGCTCCGGAGTAAGCTGTTTTCCGCGGCTACACCGGAGTAAATCTGCATGTGTGACCGCTCTACTGGCGCAGCGCCGGCATAGCACCGAAGCAAATGTTGCCGTGTGAACACCCCTTAAAATAGGACCAGGACTACAGGCAAGACAAACTAAACCTAAAACAGGACTAGGACCAAACCTAAAACAAATTAGACCAAACACAGAATGAGGAAGAAACGTAAAATAGCTACAAGTAAAAATGGACAAAAACAAAAAAGAATGAATCAATGACAGGAAAACAGAATGAATCAATGACAGGAAAAGGAAAAAAATAAAAGGCTAATTAAGTGATTGATTTAATGCAAGACAGACAAAAACTAAACCAAACGTAAACTAGATTAAAAGTAAAACAGCCCAAATTTTAAGAAGGCTCAAACTAGACCAGCTAAATTTGAAACGGGAAGAGGACTACTGTAAATCTAAAAGAAGACCAAAACTAAATGCGAGAGGTATTAAATCTTTGAAATAATGACTAGGAATAAGCCTAAACCAGAATAAACCAAGAACTGGATTAAGACTAAACACAAAGCACAAATGCAAAAACAGGACTAGGATTAGACATAAAATGAGCTAAGACTAAAGAATCAGGACCAAATCAAAGACTCATTAAACCTTTTGAAAAAATAACTCTCAAATTGTCAATCAATTTAGTTATCGTATCGATGACTGACTTTAAATTTTGTTTTCGTTCAAAAAAAAAATTAACGAAAAGAATGACGAACAGTTTTAGTCAACGAAATTAACACTGGATGATTTTTTTTTGAGAGCGATCTCCCCCAAAACCAGCAAAATTGGTCTTATATTAAATATTTAGCTTTCGTTGCTATCACGTTGTTGACCAGTATGAAATCAATTGAAACATTTTAAGCTTTGAAAAGCAACACTCACAAATTCAATTTTGAAATTATTTGAGACATGTTTTATTGCAGCTCATAATTGTAAGAGGGCTAACATTTTTCGGCTTCAGATTTTTTCTACCCCACTCCGGGGAAGGAGTGCATGACCAGTCTCGAATCTCAGCGCACGTCACTGATTATCCCTTAACGTTAACAATTAAGCCGTCGTGAATTGTCTCCATCATCAACGTGTAACAGTTTGACTTGACTTACATGGCTTATGTGTTGAGCAGCAGGTCTGCTCTCCCGCCATGATTGGACGTCGAAGCGTATTCAGAGGCACCTGCGCGCAACAGCTCACTTGAAGACGAGCGATTGATGCGTTCAGGAGTGATGTGTCGGTCGCGAACGAACCGGTACAAAGAGCCGGCTCTTTGAAGTGAACGATGAGAGCCGGCACCCTCGCTCGAGAGTCGGCTCTGTCATTTTCCTTCTCTCTCTCTCTCTCTCTCTCTCTCTCTCTCTCTCTCTCTCTCTCTCTCTCTCTTTCTCTCTCTCTCTCTCTCTCTCTCTCTGTCTCTCTCTGTCGCTCTCTCTTTTTCAGTTGTCTGAAGCGAGGTTTGGCAGTGGCTCAGCTGCCGTGCTCAGAGAGGTAGATCAGAAGAGAAAGGGGAGGGGCGAGGGCCTTGGTATGGACTGCACGGAGTGTACGCTGAGCACAATATGCTCCGTCGCGTCTGCGCAGCCACAGACAGACACATACCTGTCAACTTGTACGTTTTGCCCATATTTTATACCTTTTTTTATCATTTCAAATCATGTACGGCGTATTACAACTTTTATACCGGAAAAAAAAAAAAAACAATTGTGAACCGATCTCAAACAGACAATTTTGGCTCAAATCCAGATCGTGTCACCTGCTGGTAGCCAACGACAATGCCGTTGTCGATCGCTACTATTGTCACGGCAAACCAGCAAAAGTAATCCTCAATCAAATATTTTTTTTTGATCGCTGCGTACGGTAGGATTGATCAAGCATGATGTGCGCATGCGCGGTAAGCCGTTGTAAGGGTTTTTGTTATTTTGTAAGGGGAATCGTAATCATTTATAAGGGCAGCGATTAGCCGAGGTTGACAGGTATGCAAAAGGATTTGACTTTCCCAGTTCCAACTCGTCCAGAGGATCATAAACACAACAACAAAGACCAACATGGTAAGACAGCACCTGATAAAGGTTTTCGGTGGGACTGTACTTGTAAAGTTGAGAGCCACTTCAGTCGAAGGTTTGTCATTCCTATTGGTCACCAGTAGACGGCGCCCTTACGTTTCGTAAAGACCTTGTCAACACCGTCGACTGCCGGCGCGAGCCTCTTGATTTTGCGGTCGAATTTTACAATGATTCTTACTGCTGTTAGCTGACATTGGAAAGCGAAGTCGGGTTTATTGTTTCCCCTTGCCAATGGCGGGCCCTCTGCTGGAGTTTGAGACCGAAATGTTTCTGACATGTTGATCGATATACAGTGAATACTTTGAAGGGGAAAAGTTATCGGGGCCCTCAGAAAGTCATCCGATGTTTCCTCCCCAGTCTGAAACGAAGTTTGATTTCACCGCGATCCTTTGGGTTTTGCAGTTTCTTCAGCCCCCGGCCCCGTTGGGACCAGCAGAGAGCACCCCGCAAGTATCCAGACGAGACTTGCATCTCAACTATTCCAGCGGAGTTGCCCTGATCAACAAAGCATCTTGAAACAATGAATAAAGTTGGATTGCACGCTTTGGTAGTGTGCGTAATGGGTGTTTTATTTGCACTTTATTCACAAACGCCAAGAACAGGGGTGTCAAGCATACGGTCCGCAAGGAGGTTTGATCAGGCCCGCAGGATAATTTAAAAGTGAAAAAATGCATGAAAGACACGGAATGAATCTTTTTAATAAAGTGCAATTCATGGAATATCCGCTAGGGGACAAATTGTTTGATCAGAGTAAAAGCCAACATTGTTTTGATCAGAGAAGAAGACAACAACCGCCTCAGTCTGTCACTGAGACAGACCCAACACAGCAGGCGTTATCAAGGACATGTGAATATTTTATTCTTTACACATATTATAGCACTCTCCTTAGTTTGTAAGGTGTAGGCAGGGATTACATTTAGATTTTATATGCTTGTGTAAATGGTTTAAAAATTCCTTTCTTTATAAATCTCGTTTAATCTTAAAAGTGCATTACTATATTTTCAAGACCAATTGTTAAGGTTTTGTGCCTTTGTACAGTTAGTGGGATCAGTGGCAATGCATATACTGTATGTGAATGATAAAAGTAAATTGCACATTTGTCTAAGAAAATCTTAGGTACTTCATGAAATGTTTTGTAAAAGATATGTTCATTAAAATTCAACATTTTTCGAGTGTTCTTGTGCATCTTTAGACCAAAAAAAGGAAAGACATATTATTTGGGTTATTTATAGCAGAGTATGGTATAATTTTTAATGGTCCAGCCCACTTGACATCTACCGAGGCCGTATGTGGCCCACAATGTGAAATGAGTTTGACACCCCTGGCCAAGAAAGCAAAATGACAAAACGACACGATCTCTTTGTGCAACTCGTCTTCAATCGAAAACGAAGTT